AAAGAGATGATACTGAACTAGAAAAACAGTAATAAAAGTATCAATAAAGACAAAAGCTATTTCTGAGCAAATAAATCTGCTACTTAGCTATTTCCTCTGAATTGAACTATTTTCTACTGGAGGAAAGAAGGAGATCCATTAAAACTCTAGAAGCTAAAAAAGTTGGGCTTAGAAAATAAGACTCAAAACTTGAGGCATTTTTAAGATTCAAGAGGTACCTCCCCAAGGTTATGCAATCAGTAAGCAATTGCTGAGGAGAAGAACTGCCTGAGAATTGGTCAGGGAGCTCGCTCTAGGAATGCAGTTTCCCTAAGTTGTCTCCAATGCTGCAGTGATGCAACTACAGAGATATTCATGTTCTTCAACCATGTTCTTTAAAATAACTCCAGTGAACCACTGGCTCACCAAGCTGGACTTGGATAAAACTGTTTCTTTGGTCTGTTATCAGTGCTCTACCTGGAAAAAATTAATATTCATTCACATCTCCAAGGAAAAGTAACAAAACAATAGGAAATGAAGGGCTTGCAAGATTGGTGAAGAAACAGCCCTAAAACAGAACAATGCACATAAAAACATACCCATGTGACAGGCGTAGTAATACAAAACTGAAAGAAGTTTGAAGAGCCACAGATTTGGAGCCCTTTGAGAGTCAGAAGCTTAACATAAGGGTAAGAAACCAAGTGGTGGCCAATCAGGACTGACTAGAGAGCCCCAGCTAGCATCAAAAAATAAAACCTAGGCTACACTAAAAATGGTATGAAAAGCTGTAGAAGAATGTTAATTCAGCAACATGGCTGCTCTGGCAAAGGATCACATCCAAAGACCTTCTAGATCTCTGAGATCCAGCTGGAATGGTACATCTTTAATATCTCTGTTTGGCATACAGACAAACCCTTAGTACACATCTTTAATTCCAAACAATGAAGGGAAAGTTAGTTTGTAGAAGGAAGCAGCCATGTTTGAAAGTGATGTCTTATTGAGGGGTAGACAAAGTGATGAATCAGAGAAAGATTTGACAGAATGAGTCAGAAATAGGATACTCCCAGTTCTCATGAGAACAGACATGAAAAAGAGACTAATTAAGAGACCAGTACAGAGAGAGAGAAAGAGAAATAGAAAGAGACACACAGAAACAGAGAGGGGAGGAAGAGGAAGAGAAAGAAAAAAAGGCAGTTTTATCAGGACAGGTTGCAGCTGAAGACAGATGAGCCAGAGAATGAGGAGCCAGGAAATTAGAACAGATTACAGTTAGTTTGAGGCCAAGCTGAACAATTCAGTCAGAAGCCAGTTTAAGTCAGTCAGTTTGGAGAGAAATTTGGCCTAGAACAGAAGAGTTGAACCAGCCAGCCAAAGTTTAGAAAGACCTAGAAACCGTGAGCTTATTCAGCAGTAAGCCTCCTAGAATCTTGGAAGTGGACCAGTGAGTGGGGGAAAGGAGAGACTGCTGAGTAGTAACATCTTCCTCACACTCAGCCCTACACTAATACTTAGGATTATGTCACCAAGAGATTCTCCTAGTCCTATCAGCCGGGTAAGAACATGGCGTTTTCTTTGTTTGGCAGCTACCATGACTTCATCTTTTGCTACTAATTTCTTTTGAAAATACCATGATTCTATGACTGAAAAAGAAAATCAGAAATGTAATTGTGGTTGGTGGACCTCAAAAGCTTATAAAGCAAACACAAAATTAAATGAAAGACATTTGAGAGCTGCTAAGGTCCAAAGAGGCTACCAAATGGCAAGCTGTCACTTGACATTTTTGCAATGATTTTCTGGTTATAAGTCTGAATTTACCTCATTTACATAATGTGATACTTCTATGTGGTCTTTTATGTTCCAATATTTGCCTTTAAATGTATAAACATAGATAAATCTGGTATTCCTTTAAAGTAAAATACAAGCCTCATTTAAAAAATATTTTGAATAAATATTATAGTGATTTGAATGAGAATGACCCCCATAGGCTCATGTGTTTGAATACTTAGTCTCCAATTGGTAGAACTATTTGAGAAGGATTAGGAGGTGTGACCTTGTTGGAGGTAGTGTGTCTCTAAGGGGCAGGCTTTGAGATTTCAAAAAACTGATAGCAAGTTGTAAGTTCCATATATGCTAACCTTCCAGAACCAGAACCCCAATTAAACTCTTTTAAATCGTGCCTTGATCATGGTGCTTTATCACAGCAATAGAAATATAAGTAAGACAGAATTTTCTTTTTGTATTAAAAAAGAGACAATATCAGGCATGGTGGCACATAGCTATAATCCCAGCAGAAGAAAGAAAGGCAGAAGCAGTAAGAGTTTTAATCCAAATCTGAGGCCAGCCTGAACTACAAAGCAAGACCTTGTTGGGGAAAGTGAGGGGAGTGGGGGGTATGACAACACCAAATTCAACAAGGCAGGCTCACCTGGGATGAGAAAGAAAGGCATGTACAATATGGGAATCAATCATAGTTAGCTCCTTAACCCTGTTAGCAGTCATCTAGGTTTAACTTGGAAATGGTTGGCTCATAAATATTCATTTTTACAACCAGCTTCCAAATGTGACATATAATCTGGCATGTTCAAATTAGGTTTCTTTTCTTTTCTTTTTTCTGTGTGTGTGTGTGTGTGTGTGTGTGTGTGTGTGTGTGTGTGTGTGTGTGTGTGTATGTATATGTAAGTTCACATATATGTGAAAAGATGGTATCATGTATATGGCTGCCTGAAACTGACGTCAAATGTCTTCTTCAGTTACACTCATTTTATTTTCTGGCCATCTCTCACTGGACTCTAAGCTCACCAATTCTTGTTAGTCTAACTGCCTGACTTACCCTGTTTGGCTTATCCCATCCCTACCTCTCTAGCATTAGCATTAGGCAGCTGTTATACTGGTTCTGGGGATCCAAACTCTGGTCCTCATGCCTAGACAGAAATTAATTTATTTACTGACCTCTCACCCCAGCCCTAGAAATTCAAACAATGCACAGAAGTCAAAAAGTAGACAGAAAATAGGGCAAGTTACTAAACTACTGAGTGTGGTTTCTAGAGTCTATGATGGAGACAGGGAATAGTAGAGCTCTCACCATTTAATTAGTCTTAAATAAAGATACATCTTTCTCTAGGCATTAAATGACACATAGGTTAAAAGGTTTTGGGTTTTTTTTAAAATATTATTATTTAAAGGTGGACTTAAAATCAAACAATCAAAAACAAAAATAAAGGACTTCATTATTCCATTAGACAGCTACTTGCTGAAATGTAAGGCAAACATGCATCAGATTAGTTCTCTGAGAAGAAATCTGTAAGTTTAGAACACTACACAGATGGGAGCTTGATGCCAGCCTGTTGAAAGACTGCTCATTTTTTTCTATCCTGATTAACCTGTCTATTTCTCCTTTCGTTTTATATAAACCGCTATACATTCCAATCGCCATACTCAAGAACACACACAATACTGGAAAATATGATGAAATGATTTAAAAACTGAACCTCAGGAACTAATTCATTTCTTTTGAGACAGGGTCTCTCTATATAAAGTCCTGGCTGGCCTGGAACTTTGTGTGTAGACCAGACAGGACTCAAACTTAGAGAGATCCACTTGCCTCTGTCTTCCAAGCACTGGAATTAAATGTGTACACCTTGCAACTGTCTTATTTTTATAAAAATACATTAATTGATATATATATATGAATTAATGATTGATGTACACTTAGTTTGACTACAAGTACATAATTTCAGTAAAATAAAAAAGATTAATCACTTACTATGTATCAGGAATTGTGCCAGACACTGAGGATACAAAGATGAATAAGACACGATTTCTTCTGTCAAGGAGCTCATAGTCTGGTGAGGATACAACCCTGCAAACATAAACAGTTTTCAGTGTGACACAGAATGCCCAGAACTTCCTCTGGAACACATGAGGAAAACATATAACCTTCAGTCAGGGAGCAGAGGCATCACAAAAAAGTAACCTGAAAATATAAACTGTAACTTTTTATTTATTTCTTTTTTTAAAGAAGGCTTGTGCCTGACACAGTGGCACACACCTTTAATCCCAGCACTCAAGAGGCAGAGACAGGCAGGTGAGTATGATGCTATCATGTCTCAAAAGAGGGAAAAAAATTATGAGTTGTGTGTGTTTTGCCTGCATGTCTATCTGTTGTATACAAAACACATTCCTGATGCTCAGGGAGTCAGAAGAGGGCAGTACATCCCCTGAAATTGGAGTTACAGAAGACTGTACAAAGAAAAGAACCTGAGTCCGCTGAAAGAGCAGCCATTGCTCTTAAGAACTGAGCATCTCTCCAGTCTCACAATTCTTTAAAAATATCTTTTTATGTAAGTGTGCATGTATGTATGTCACATGTATGAGGACACCTGCAGAAGTACTTCAGATCCCTGAACTGGAACTACAGATGGTTGTGAGCTTCCCTAAGTCTGGAATCAAACCTGGGTACTATACTAAAGCAATAAGCTCTACTGCCACTGAACAATTTCTCCAGGCCCTGAAGTACAATTACTCAAGACATAATTACAGAGAGTTAACAGTATGGCTTGGGCAATGGTACAAGAGGTAAAAAAGCTAATAGGGAAATAAAATTCTAATTATAATGTGAACCAAACTATAGGTTTATCCTCAAATATACTGAGGGGCTTCAATAATGAAAATTGCATTTGGAATGATACCTTTGGCAGCTATGAGGCTACTACATTCAAAGGAGACTGAACAATCACACTGGCAACATGAAAGAAGTACTGGGGTACTCTGACCAGACGCCTATGCTATAATAAAATGAAACAAAATCTGAAACTAAGAGTTTTCCACTTTAATGCAGACAGACAATGGTGTCACAGCAGCAGAGGGAGAAGAGGATCAAATGTTAAGAGACAAAATATCACAAAGTTTACAAGAGCCAGCTCTACAGTCACATGACAAGGACTTCATTTCCAGTGTTGCCACTTACGAGCTGTGTGCTATGCTGTATTTCCCATGGGTCACTGTCTGTATCAGCAGAAGAAAAAGAGCACAGCCATCCACTCCATGCTGTAAGGAGCAGGACATAAAACACAGGACACACACACACCTTAGGACTTCGATTCCATGGTGCAAAGTACCCACTAGTAGAAAGCTAGTTGCTATTCTAATTTTGAGACTTTAGAAACTTTTCATTTGGGGTATGATGTTCAAAGAAAACTTGTTAATATCCCTGTATCAGAAACAGCTAGGTTTAAGTTGAAGGGGAAGAAATATTTGGAGTCAGTTCCGCAGAGGTATTAAACACAGATGGTAATGGGCTTGCTAGTGGTGGAGATTTTCTGAAATAATTACTGAGAGAACTAAGAAAGGGTGCTGATCAACCATCACTAAGCAATATTAATACGGTGTTTTTCATAACTCACAGGTACAACATTCTGCATGTTAGTATGACTATTCCCCAGACATACTTGGGATGCAGCATATAAGAACAGTGAAAGACTGTAAGGCCAACTCCAATGCAAAGAACTCAGAGAGTAAGCAAGGCAAGGGAAATAGCAAAGTCTGATTTCACCAAACTCTTCAACAAAGTAGATATTTAGCCAAGTAAGAGTAGTTTAAAAATCTGTGTAGAGGAGACAAAGAGCACATCTAAGCTGATTTTGTCCAGTTCAACCCTTGAAAAATTCCACAGCGTTGCTATTCAGCTGCAGAGAATAAAAGAGAATCCTATATACAGGTGATATACTATATTTCTAGTACTCTGAAATTATAGACCTATCAAAACCTCATGTAGATACTGGGGGAAGAAAGCTGGGCGTGGGTGCATGCCTTTAATCCAGTATTGAGGAAGCAGAGGCAGGAGGATCTCTGTCAGTCCAAGGTCAGCCTGGGCAACTTAATGAATTCCAGGACAACCACTGATAAATACAGACACTCTCATAAAAGCAAGCAAACAAACAAACTTAAAAAAAAAATAGAAGAGGAAAAATAGGTGGGGAAAGGGTTGTTGTGTGTTGTTGCTTCTGAGAATGGCTCTCACTCAGTAGCCGCCCGACTGCCCTCAGACCCTGAGCACTAGCCTCGGATCCTGCATTGCCAACTCTGGGAGAGCTATCTAGTTGTCTGCTTACTGAAAGATGTTCTGATAAAATCAAAGCAATAAAACAAAACAACAAACAACACTCCTAAAAAGTCAGATCAGATTAGAATGACCCGAACTGTCTGTATACTCAGCATATACTCAGCACAGTATTCAGCTTTAGAAGGCCAGTAAAATGCTGTCATAGCTCCGTAGGGCTGAATCAGTGAATGGGCATTCACACTGATGGTCTAATCTGTAAGAATGGCACAAATAAAAAATAATGAAGGTGATGTCCAGATTCAACAACAGGGAATCTAGTTTTGGAAACAATATTAAGAGAAAGGAAATAACTCAGTAATAAGATAGGGAAGAGAGCATCAAGTGCTATAGAAACTTGGCCCAAAGACAGGGAACTAGAAAGTTACAAATCTTTTATTATTATAGTTACTATATCAACAACACAAAATTTAAAACTCAGCAAATATAAAAATGAGAAATGTGAAAGAACCTATCAGCCTCCCTAATACCCAATTTAACAACTCTAAAGCACACAAAGAATTATTTTATAAAAATGTAAACTATACCAAATCTAAGAGCACATCAAAACCACCATTTATCATGATCAAGTAGGCTTCATCCTAGGGATGCAAGGTTGGTTCAATTATACAAAAATCCATTAACGTAATCCACTATATAAACAAACTCAAAGGAAAAAAATCACATGATCATCTCATTAGATGCTGAAAAAGCATTTGACAAAATACAACATCCCTTCATGTTAAAAGTCTTGGAAAGATCAAGAATTCAAGGCCCATGCCTAAACAAAATAAAAGCAACATACAGCAAACCAACAGCCAATATCAAATTAAATGGAGAGATACGAAGCAATCCCACTAAATGTGGGACCATGAAAGGATGGCTTGGTTTCTGATAGAGCACTGGCTTAGAGATAGCTGGAGACCCAACAGGTGTCCATGCCTTCGAGAGACGGCACATATCTCACCACGCCCCCAGACTCCAGACTCCTGACACGAGGGCCCCCCCCTCCATCCCAAGACCTCCATTGATCTGTGCCTTTTAGTCATGTAGGACAGCCCTAGCCAGAGAGGTTTGTGTCACCTAGCACAAGTAGAGGGCATGACTACAGGCTTCAGCCTCAAGAGATTTCCATATTAATGAGATACCTGAACCAGAGGGCGTAGCCAATTAAGCATTCTTTCCCAGACCCTCTTCCCTCCTCCCTCCCTATTTAAGTCAGGTCAGCCCTGAGTTTCAGGGGGTGCAGTCAGATCCATCTACCATCTGCTATGACAGTAAAGCTTTATAAAACCCTGGACTTCCTTGTGTCTTTGGGGCCTGCTGTGGAGAACTGTGGAGGGACCTTCTAAATATTGAGCCGCTGTCTAATCTCCCATGGAGAGCTTCTGTGTTCCCACTGTAGAGGCCTCCAATTCAAGTGATCCAGCCAAACAAGTACAGTAACAAAGAGTCTCTTTCCCAAGGGGCGCTGTCGGGCACCCTTCCCCTCTCCCCCTCACGTCTCTGTTCCTCTGAGGTCCCCAGCAGTGTCTGGGAGCCCGAGGACAAGACCATTGGCCTCTGGGTCCACTCAAGAGTCCTACCCCCGCAGGACTTCAGACTGAGTTTGCTCCACACCCCGGAGCCCCCCCCCCCCCCCACAGTGCCTGCCTGGCGCCAAGTGGAAGGGGCTCAGTCAAATTTTCATGCTTCTGCCACTCTGAGCCATGGGTCCAGCCAACTGAGCCGTGGCAGACACAACTAAACCACAACTCCACCCAACAGAACCCACTCAAACACATGCCCACACACAAGCTAACAACCCCACAACTAAAATCAGGGACAAAACAAGGATGCCCATTCTCCCCATATCTATTCAATATAGTACTCAAAGTTCTAGCTACAGCAAGAAGACAACAAAAAGAGATCAAGGGGACAGAAGTTGGCAAAGAAGTCAAGGTATCACTATTGCAGATGATATGATAGTATATATAAGCAACCCCAAAAATTCTACCAGAGAACTTCTACATCTGATAAACAACTTCAGCGAAGTGGCTGGATATAAACTTAACTCAAATCAGTAACCTTCCTTTATACAAATGATAAACGGGCTGAGAAGAAATTAGGAAAACAACACTCTTCACAATAGTCATAAATAATATAAAATATATTGGAGTAACTCTAACCAAACAAGTGAAATATCTGTATGACAAGAACTTCAAGTCTCTCAAGAAAGAAATAAAAGAAGACCTCAAAAAATGGAGAGACCTCCCATGCTCATGGACTGGTATAACTAACATAGTAAAAATAGCCATCCTACCAAAAACAATCTACAGATTCAACTCAATCCCTATCAAAATCAACACAATTCTTCAAACACATGGAAAGAGCAATTCTCAAATTTATCTGGACAAACAAAAAGCCCAGAATAGTGAAAACAATTCTTAACAATAAAAGAACTTCTGGGGAATCACCATCTCTGACCTCAACCTATACTACAGAGCAATAGTGATAAAAACTGCATGGTTTGGGTACAGACAGACAGTTACATCAATGGAATAGAATTGAAGACCCAGAAATAAGACCACACACTTATGGACACTTGATCTTTGACAAAGAAGCCAAAAATATACAATGAAAAAAGTGAAAGCATCTTTAATAAATGGTGCTGGTCTAACTGGCAGTCTGTACGTAGAAAAACAAAAATAGATCCATATTTTTCACCTTGCACAAAGCTCAAGTCCAAATAAATCAAGGACCTCAACATAAAACCAGATACA